GTTGTGGAAAAGACACAAATTTCGTCCATATAACTACTACAAAGAGAAACTTGTCAAAGATACATCTTATGAGTCTGGACCGTACTCCTGGCATCCCAGCCATGCCCATAGGTGCAACACACCATCAGCGACTTCGAGGTACGTGCGAAACGCGGTGTATTTTCTTGCTTCTGCTACCAAAAACATTTGGTGGTATCCTGATGCAAGATCAATCTTCGTAAGGACTTTGCATCCAAACATTCGATAAAACAGGTCATAATTGTTTAGAAGGGAAATCGTTGGTATTTTCGTTTGAGAGTTGACATGACGATATTCCAATACCCAGCGAATTGGCGTGTCTGCTGTGTCGAGAAGGCATATTCCCCTCCGCATCCCCTTTCGGCACTCCAAATATGTTTGAGAATTAGATGAAACCCTTCTTTTCCAACTTTCGCCCAAACTTATCCAATGATTTTTGCTTGACTTTTGTTAATCGAAATGGTGAAGTAAATTTTGATTTCGCTCCATTTTTCAATGTCAGGTCAAACTCGACAGCTCGTTTCGGAGGCAGTTTTTAACGGGTGTCTCATCTAAATCACATCTAGAAAAGTAGTCAGTAGTTTCTTCCACTCTGTTGGCATGGTCTTTTGAACTGTTTCCGATACGACACTTATCTTCACCATCCATGGTTCGATCTCATCTACGTAGTGGCTCGTTTCTGTTCTGGCTACATTTGCTTTTTCCCTTTCACCCATGTCGACTTCTATGAGCTTATTCGTCTCTCATCTGTCTTCGGCCTTAACTAAAAAAACATGGCTTTCCAATATGATGCCGTATTCTTTCTGTTTAAGGTCATATGCAGATCGTTAAAAGTCCGTTCATCAAATGTGATTGGCTCGCTCAACTCATTTAACATTCTTGTCTCGGAGCATTTTACGTCAAAGCCTTCAACTCAGCTTTCTTTGCTTTCGACACCGTTTTGACCAAACCCAGGTTGACAGTGTATTTCTGTTGCCTCGCAATCAATGAGCATTCTGACTTCTCGATTCGTCAGTCCCATTCTTTCCATCAGCATGTGGGACTTTGCTCTCTTTTCGCGCAGCCTTGCTTTCTCGTCGCGCGCTTTTCACTTAGATGGTGTTCATCCTGAACAATTAAAAATCTTCCTCTTTGTCAGAGAATCCCTCTTCGTTCCTTGCTTCTTGAACAGCCACATTGTTGTGTCTCAGATTCTCTCGTGAGTTATTGATGTGCCTCACTGGCCTTGGTTCCCTGTTGTTCTGACGTCTTGGTTGTCTGCATTCTGCAGCGAAATGTCCATGCTCCCACAATTTAAGCTTGTCTTGTTCCGAAGAGCACTATTTCTTTGCTGACTCACTCGTCATTTATTTTCGCTTTTCACATTTGCATTGTCCATTTCAATGGCTTCAGGTTTGCGTTGACTCAGTCGTCTCTCTAATTTAAACCTCTGTCCGCTGTATCTCTCGTTGTAGTCTTGATTTCGCCTTCAATTCTTTATTCCTAGCAAAACCCTGTGCGCTCTTTCAGACTCTAGCGCAGTCTGGATAGCTTTCATAACGGTGCTGCAATCCTTCTATCGCACCTCTTCCTTCTACGCTCTCTCAATCCTCGATTGAATATTGCTATCTTCTCACGCTCTGACATATCGACTTGGGTACAAATTCTATTGAATCTCCCACCATATTCCATAAAATCTTTACAATTCTTCTGCTTTAGATTGATTAACTCATTTCTCAATTGATCTTGAAGATACACAGGCTCAAATTCTCGTCGAAATTCATGCTCAAACTCTATGAGCGTCTCTGGCAGTGCTCTTGTCGACTGCAATCTTTCCTGGTACCAAGCAGCGGTGAGTCCCCTTAAATTGGGTATCATCATCGCTAAATATCGCTCTTTCCTTTCTTTACTCCGCATCGGGTCGATATTTTTCGCCCTGAAGAACGTGATCACTTGATGAATGTTCAAGCCCACGCTTTCATCTATTCGTCCATAATATTTTGGCACTGTAAGTCTTTCCACTCTCCTTTCGCTTTTCACTTCTCCCGCCTCTCTTTGCGCTGTGAGCTCTTGTTGAATTGCATTTTGGTCATTCATCTAGTTTCTTGAGCCTCTGCCAGAGCATTCAGCATATGTTGTTGCTGTTTCAACGCTCAAGCTAATGATGCAAACGCGTGTCCTATTCTCTCTCTTTGATGCTTTTTCTTCTTTCACAACAAGGCTAAGACTACTTGGTGCTTATAGCCACTCGCAATATCACACATGTTAAAACTCGAATTGACTAGAAATGTATACTAAGTTACCAAATTTATTCTCAATTCCACTTCTCGTCTGAGCACACGACCCCATCAGCTGTGCGTTGTTAGCGAGAACTCTTTAAATCTAAGCATCCTCCATGCGTGATACACAATAAATCTGTTGCACTAAATGGCATAAGCAGTTATCCCCGCAACCAAGTTGTTAAGAAAATTAATCATCACACGACTGGATTGTATACCTGTCCGCAGGACAGCCAGACACCCTTAACGGGTCTATGTAAGTCGCTGATTCCGAAAGAAATAGAGAATTAGCAGCAAGGGCCAGAGGCGATAATTGGTCAAACAGAGGCGTTTTCTAGCTATAAAATGCGCTGGTGACATACTTCCAGTAGCGTTTGAATCTGTTGTTTTAAAATTACTCAGCTGATATATTTTGTGATACGGCAGGTGATCTCTTAGTGGAAAGGGACGAAAAAATACACTGGATGAATGAAGGCAATATCGTCAAAAACTTGGCCATTGCCAAGATATTACGACTGCGTGCCACATTTGTGGTCTCAAACTGGAAGACTGGCGCGAAAATGGGCACTGCGGGATTGCTAGGACTGTGATCTGAATCCGATGAGGTAGAAGGTATAACCTCATCCAAAGACTCATATTTTTTGTGGTCCTACATCCGCAAATTTTTTTTATGCAACATTGCCACTGACGACTTAACGCACATCTCCACCAAAGAAAAGACACTGCCGCCCAGCTCAACGAGCTTCCCATAGGCAAATTAGGGTATTTCCTTTCCCACAAAGAGACATGACCGGTAGTTAAGCAAGCAAGCTCATAAGAATGAACAAGGCTATTGACATTAATAACTCGCCGTAGTAAGCATTCACATCGACGTTCATGTCGTGTTTGTACTTCACAAATTCAGGCAACAAACGAAGTTTTTCAGCTCACAACTGTTCATTAAATCTGGCTGCCAAGCGATTACAAGTGTCAACAAAGTTTCTTTCCTTACCAGTATATCAGGCTCTGACATTTTTGCAGCCTTGCAGTACCAAATGACCTAGGATTTTTCTGACCGTTGCAGCTTAATCGTATTCAGTGCTTCAAGGAGAAGAGACCTTATGGGTAAAATATGCCCGGAGCAAGATTCGCATGTTTTTCTCTCCGATTGGGCGGTATGCATAGGGGTTTAAGCGACACGACGGGCAACTTCTGACGAACTTGATGTGTGATTGAGTTTGCAAAAGTCGTTGCAACCCATGTGCTAGCAAACGAATATGATGGGCTTGCTAATCAAAGAATACCTTTTTGATCAAGAGCTAGAAATACCATGGGATCTACAGTGAGGCCCTTCGTCGTAGGGAGTAGGGAGAAATTGTGTAGAGGTTAGCTGTAAGCATACAGAGCCTCTTAATATCTAAGAGATCTCCACAGACGGAGATTGGATTTTCCGAATAACTATCGGTTGGGGCAAAGTGACCGGGCCATTATTTGAAATTTGAATGTGATTGATTCACCGAAGAGCGCCTCATCTACCTTCAAGGTCTTGGCTGCGAAGATCGAATCCTTTCTGATTGTTACTACTAAGTGTGAACCATACCACGCTGGCGGCAACTCATCACCCATCGATGACGCTCAATATTTTCGGCTGACTGTAATCAAGGTTCTGTGGTTTACGATTCTGGGTGTGCTGACCGTAATTCTGGTGTTTGGTTTACGGTCCTTAGCGTTAAACACTTCTCTTCTATATGGTGACTCCTCCTTGAGAGTCGCATGCATATATAGGAAAGCTAAATATACCAAATCTCAATTTCCAGTTCGTGCTCCTCTGCTCAGTTCTGCTTCAAGTTCCTCTACATTCGTTAAAGGTTATAAGCCCAAGTCCAGTCGGTCACAACGTTGTCCTTCGGGACGACAACAACTTCCTATGGGTGTTCAACGCTCGGATGACTCTTGTCGCAAGTCCTTGATTGATCACATCGTCATCAAGTCAGAACAAGTCGCGCAGCGCGACACACCAGAGTGGGAAGCCTCAGACCTGAAGACTTTGGCGGTCATAGTCAAGCTCCTCAATCCTACGTACCAATTAACGGTGCGCAATGCGCAATCGGAATTTGAAGCATGGAAAATTCTACTACTATTTTTTGCACAACTGTGTTCAACTTTGTAAGCAACTAACTGATTTTGAGGTTCAAACCGGAGGCGACTTGATGGCGCACCTGATGCGCTTTGAGGATTGTATCTCAAACTCTCTGCCGCTGTTGAGCACATTGATGATGACGGAAAGCCTGTAGTGCTATTGGGCAGTCGGCCTGAGGATTATGATGCTATGGTCCGAATCATCGAAGCAACAAGTGGTGTCACGCTTTTGGATGCTGTGTCAAGAACATAAGAAGCTCACACGTCGTGACAAGAATGAAGCTGCATTCAAGGTCAGCCTTTTGTCAACATAAGCCTCGCCCTGCTCGTCATGGTGATGGTCGCTATGAAAACAGTCTGAATGGCTATAATAGACGCCACAGTGGCAACGGTAACGGTGGTTATGGTGCCTGGATGAATGATGCTCCGCGTAGTAGTGGTGGTCGAATCAACGGCCACTGATATGGATGTGGTAAGTATGGCCACAAGCGACAACACTGTACCCAGCAGAAGCAAGGCAGTGGTGACGAGCTCATCTTCCGGGCGGTTCCCAATGAGACACAAGGTAACTCAACGTGGTTGCTGGACAGTGGTGCGCGCTGCCAGATGTCTGGAATGCTTGATGATTCTAGTGACTATCGTCAATTGGATACGCCCATCAGTGTGATGGCTGCCAGTGGACAAAGACTCCAAGCAAGAGGTGTTGGCCAAATCTGTAAGATTCTCGCTGGTGGTTGTAGTGTCAAGCTCACGGAAGTGCTCCATGTCCCGCACCTGGAGAGCAAGCTAGTATCGATGACCGCGTTGACTGCGCACGGGGTTATCATCCAATTTGATACTCATGGTGCATCGTTAATGATTGATGAGAAAGTGATTGCTCGAGTTCCTCGTATTGGTAAACTGTATGTATGGCACGTTGGCCAACATGCACTCATGTTGCAGGCGAATGCAAGAGAAGAGTTGAATGGTGGTGGCACGACCTAGCATGCTCGTCTTGGACACGTGTCGCAAGCTAACGTGAAGCTGCTCGTGAAAGCAGCTGACGGAATCCCGTCGATCGATCACAATGATGATTTCGCTGCTGTATGTGACGGCTGCGCTCGAGGCAAAATGGTGACCTCTTCGCTTTCTCACCAATCTTGAATCCACTTTTCGAGCTTGTCCGTCCGCTAAAGCCCAAGACTCGTGGTGGATCTCAGTATGTGGAGACCTCCATTGATGATTTTTGTCGATACGTCAGTGTGTACCTACTGAAGAGCAAAGGTCAAGCGTCCGACAAATCCGTTGAGTTCAAGAAGCTGGTAGAGAACCAGCACGGCGTGAGAGTTCGCCGCATTTGCAGTGATAATGGTGGTGAGCACACCAGTGCGAAGTTCAACCGATTCTGTGCAGAAAATGATATTCTTCACCAAACTAGTGTATCATATTCGCCTCAACAAAACGGCTTAGTGGAACACATGAACCGGATCATCGTGAAAATGGCTCGTTCAATGCTTCATGTCATTAACGTCGATCGGCAATGGTGGGGTGGAGCAGTAGTAACTGCCACTTACATCATCAATCGTATTCCGAACACAGCTCGTTCTGACGTGAGTCTTCGTGAAGTGTTGACAGGCTAGGAACCATCTTTGAAACATCTCAAGGCATTTGGATCTACTAGGCTCTTCAAGATTTCGAAGGCACATCGATGCACCTTCCTCGGCTATTCCCACGACGAAAGGTTTCCGTGTCTGGGACATTGATGACCAGCGCATTGTGACCACGCGGACAATTCAGCTTGACGAACGCCCTCCGCTATCGCATCTTACATTTTTGATGATCCGTGATGGTGGCGATAATTATGTACCACTCATGGAGGACGATGATTACTCTCAAGCTCAACCACTTCCTACTCAACGGAACAACGTAGACGATATAGAGGTCGACATCCTAAGTGCTACCGAACCTGAGGAAATGGAAGTAGAAGTCTCGATGACTAGTGCTGATATCCGCTCGCTGATGCCTATTGCAAAGGGAAGTGAAGACCGCTCGCATGCGCCAATTGACACTCAGGCTCGTGTCCGCAACCATCACTCTACCTACTAGCACCCGTTTCAGTAATCCCATGGTTTCCTCATCCAATGGTCCGTCTCAAGCTCTAGTCAGACAATACGCATTGTTATGCTATCCTCCGGTTGTCCTTGGAATCCGTCTAGTTTTCAGCGGTGAACGCACTCGCCCTCACCGGCTCGAATTCGATCAAGCTCGACTGTTGACAAATGGATCCGATCATGCTGTGGCTCTTCCCAACGAATCCCCTGGTGATCAACCTGATATTGAGGCTGATGTAGTACAAGAGAGCAAGAGACAACGTGTCGACTCATACGAGATCGCTCTTGATGTTAATGACCTGTCTAATTCGTATCAAGAAACCATGGCAACCCCTGAAGCTGCCGAATGGAAAGAAGCAATCCGAACGAGATACGCTCTCATGTGAAGAATCACACGTAGGATATTGTCACGAAGCCTCGCGGTGGAAAAGTGATTAGTTTAAGATGGGTCTTTGCTCGAAAGTATGATGAGCGTGGAAACGTCGTAAGACACAAAGCTTGACTAGTGGCCCGCGGATTTCTCCATCCACACAATATTAACTACTTCGATACCTACTCACGTTGCCAGCGTGAACACCATTCGAATGTTTCTATCTATATGCTGTGCAAAAGACTATGACGTTGAAACGGCATTCCGTAACGGCGGTCATGAAGAGACCGTCTACATGCATCCTCCGGAGAGTATCAAGGTCAAACCTAGCATGGTTTGTGAATTATGCCGCAGCTTGTATGGTCTTAAACGGGCTGCATCAGCATGGTTCAAGAAGATTCGGTAAGTGTTCGAACGACTCGGGACTAGCCAATGCGGTGATGATCCGTGCTTTTTCATCCGACGTCCAGAAGACAACGTCGACGACAGAGTTGTTTACGTGGTGTTGTATGTGGATGATTTGCTTGTTGGAAGCAAAACACATGCCATTGCTGCCGGCTTCTGCGACGAACTGCGAGAGCATTTCGTGCTTAAGTCGCTCGGTCTCGCCCGATATATGCTTGGAATGGAGATTGCCTACGAGCAAGATAAAGGGCAATTGATCGTAAAGCAAATTCAGTTTATTATTAAGATATTAACCAAGTTCGATTGCCTCAATGCTAACACCGTTCGCAATCCACTTGTTATCGGTGAAGACTTCACCATTGATGCGACGCATGAAGCCTTTGACGATAAGCGTCGGTACCGAGAACTTGTTGGCTCTTTGCTATATGCGGCGAATGCAACCCGGCCTGACATCTCAGTTGCACTCTCGATTCTGCCCCAGCAACTTGATCGACCAACGTCTGGTCATTAGCGCACCGCCAAACCTGTGCTGTGTTACCTCAAAGGGACGATTTGGGTCGGTATTCGATACCACAGGGGCAATGGTGATGCGGTTTCACTCCGGGTATTCAGCGATGCGAGCTGGGGTGGGGACAAAGCAAGTCGACGCTCGACATCTGGCGTACTTGTGATGCTATGTGGTGGTCTTGTCGTATACAAGAGCAAGCGTCAGTCTACAGTTGCCCTCTCTTCCACTGGAGCCGAATACATGGCACTCGCGTTTACCGTACAAGAGGTGCTCTGGATCCGCTATCTCCTTGGTGAAATTTGCCTGAAGGCGGCCAGTGGCCCGACCATCCTGATGGCCAACACCTCAGCAATTAGTATCGCAAGCCGCCAAGGATACACGCCACGCGCCAAGCACATCGACTTACGGGCACACTTTGAACGTGATCACGTTGAAAAAGGCTCCATCCGCTTGCAGTATGTCCCGACCGAGTCACAGCTGGCCGACCTCCTGACGAAGCCGTTCCCGACACCGCATCTTGTTTACCTCCGACAGTAGTGTAGTCTCACCGGGTGATCGAGTTGTGGGGGAGTGTTGCTACTAAGCGTGAACCATACCACGCTGGCGGCAACTCATTACCCATCAGTGACGTTCAAAATTTTCGGCTGACTGTAATCAAGGCTCTGTGGTTTACGGTATTCTGGGTGTGCTGAACGAAATCCTGGTGTTTGGTTTACGATCCTTAACCGTAAACACTTCTTTTCTATATGGTGACTCCTCCTTGAGAGTCGCATGCATACATAGGAAAGCTAAATATACAAAATCTCACTTTCCAATTCGTGCTCCTCTGCTCAGTTCGGCTACAAGTTTTTCTTCATTCGTTAAACTGATAGCCCGTTAAGCTTTGTGCGCACATAAGGAGAGATATCTTGGCTCGTGTACGATGCATGTGGACGGAAATCACTGGATACTTGTAGAGCATTTTACGCTTGCTCAATCTAAAAAAAAGTGTTTCCCTATTGTAGTATATATCTTGGTAAACATCTAAGTAAGTAGCGTATAGACATATATGAAACTTAGTGTGATTTTTGTTTATATTACATTGTTGTCCCACGAGAATTACCATAGTACTGGGACTGTTGATTGTTAGGGAACTCTGGAAAGAAATATTTGTAAGGTTCTATATAATTTTATGCACTCGCACATATGTAATATTAATTTAAACTATACATTACTCGGGTCGTAATACGTCAATCCATTTATTCAGTACGCAGAATTAAAGCGTCATAATCTCTCTGTGTGTGGTGAGTGCGCAGTAACGTTTTTGAAGTGCTCAGAAAATCATGTTAAAGTCAACAGCCTTTTTTGCCGCGTGACTCTTGCTTGCAGCTAGACGGCGAGGAGCAGTTTGCTTGATTTTACCATTTTTGGCACGGTATCAATGAACATCATCTGGTTTTCTGCAGATACATCTTTTTTAAGTGATAAATAAATACCTCATGCGTGACAAATACAAGAGCTACTCATAAGCCTAGATGCAGATGAGAGGCCGCAAGCTGCACTTTACTAACCAAGCAAAGAATGGCCGTTTAGGTCATCTGGTTAAGATGATGACTACGACAACAGCCATTTTGATATATTTAACAATGTTTCCTAACATCTGATTAGTTTTTTTAAGCCCTACATGCCGTTCATAAGTAACAACATCCTGTGAGGCTCCTTTTGCTAAGATCTTCTGATAGTTACTTAGGTTGATGAACGCGGCGCATTCGAATACATTTCTTTCTTCGACTTTCAAATTCGCGCTTGGGTGCCTTATGCTGGCGAATGGTGAGTCTTCCTTCGTCCTCATTTGGCACGCGCTCGTGATACTCTTGATTATGCATACGCTTTTGCTTCAAAACCTTCACGGTCTCATGTAATTGTACAGCATTCTCCACGTCGTGAATAGAATTGTTGATGCGCTCCATCTCCCCCAGATGCTGACGCTCTTTGAGTGGCAGACACATAGAATTTACTGAGTCGGCACGCTGGAACTCCTGCAACAGAACGAAGCCGTATTCTCCTGGTTCAGATGCCATCGGCATGTTAAAATGGAAGCGGTTGTTCACGGGGCTCCAGCGAAGTCGAGGTATCGAGTCGAGTAGCAAGTTGTCGCTGCTTGCGATTATGGACATCTACGTCGTAATGATTGGGTTTGAAGGCTGTTTTTCAGACTTGGCTTGCTACTTTCTTTTTACGAAATGAGGACGAAAACCATTTCGACAGGAAAATGTTGTAGTCCGCTAGCTCTGTATAAGACTTAAATCCTCCGCTTCTTACCATCACGTGCTAACTTTAACTCGTCACTGGCTCTGCGTACATTGATATAAAAAAGTAGATGTAGAATTTATAGACTTGTTCTGTGAAATTAATGGAGCACCAACTTCAATTCGGGCGTGATGATCCATACAAAGTCGTGCGTTGTATATAGAAACGACATGACAAGTGGTCTTCGAAGACAACAGATGCCAGCCGCGCATAGACGAAATGTTAAGTTCTGAGTACTTTCAATATTTTGCAGGCTGAAGCTGGATGCTGCATGTCTCAGGTAGTTGGTATAGTTGGTAGACAATCAATTATTAGCCTAAGCGATTGCACTTCAGCCCAGTAGCAAAATTTTGAGGTTACGAGCGGAAGTCGATATGTCAACGTCGAGGCTATAGGTTGACGGCCAACCTTCACAGTCTATTGACAAATTTGTAATGCTCGATGGCATAAGAATTTTAAACCAATTGTAGCTTTTGGTGGCGTTGATTAATATTATACATGCATTAGTTTCGTACCTGTGCTCCTTGAAAGATAAAAAGTTGAGTGATCGACGGGGATAATGGCTGAGGGTGCACACTACCCCATGAGTTTGCAAACACCTGAAAGATGACGTCAATGCTGAAATGAGGTGATTTGAAATGAAAGTTGGTGAGACGATGCCAGGAAGAAGTTAACGTCCGTCTTGTCATTCAAACAAATTTAGATTAACTTCGATGATTGAACTCCAATGTTTGAACTGTAGTGAGCAGCCTTGTCTGTAAGTTGAGTATCTCAAATGTTGCCATTCGCAGTGCAGCTTGCTAACATCAGATTTGATGATTCGAGCAGACAGGTCCGTATTCTAGTGTTTTGACACTTGAATAAATCACTCCCACCAAATAACGACACTGTATCGTCAAAGCTTTCGAAAGTTGAGTCATTTTTCTTCCCGAGTTGAAAAGAGTATTTCATGCCCGCTATAAATCGAAACACACCGAATAACTACTCAATTGCTAGAAATGCGTCCAACCAGCTTTAAGGCATCAATTAAGCATTTGTCGCTTGGTTGAAGATGCAAAATAACTATTATTATTTCGCACAACTCGAGCGAAATCGAAAGCAATCAGACGTGAACTATGACTCAAAAAGCATTAGTGTCCAGCATTTTGATGACAAATCAACCCAGATTACCGTCACTAAGCTAATTCTTCTGTGGCTCACCGGAACCAATCATTGGATTGTCACCATATTCTTCGTTTGCCTATTGGCTTTTGATAGATGACTCCGATAATTGTTGAACTCGTAGACAGACTAAATTTTTGAAAAAGTGATTTCGCTGAAGATGCAGGAAGGACAAGGATCGAAAGTCGGCCAATGTGTCGAGAGTCTAAAGCAGATTTACAATAAGGTCAATCTGCCAACGTTTCCACACCTACTATCGTGCTTTGCATATGAGATAAGTTAACGACTTTTATGACAGAGGTTTCAAAGATTATTTTAAGCAGCGTTTAATACATTTCTGAAAATACCAACACAATTTACATATATGCGGTCCAGCGACGATACCTGAGGCCCGAGGTTACCATTTTGTACGGGCATGGGTTTGCAAGAATTGATATTGACAAAGATTTTTAGCTTCTTTGGCCTATGTGGAGATTTAGATTGTTAAAGAATCATATGTTGTATTTCACGTGGATGCATAGACCCGGCAGGTGACGATTGCACTCATTTCGACTTAATGGGAACTTGGCTTGTCACGATGCCGAATATCTGCTTTTACACTGGATCGGCTTTTCGTCGCAAAAGATAATAAACTGTATCAGGACTTTAATAAAAAAATGCAAAAAATATTATTGCGGTCGAGTGTTTTACACAAAACATTAAATAAAATGGTCGACAAGCTTTCCGAGGTCCAGGCGTCAGGGACAAAGTCGAATAATAAGAACAATATGTCTCGAATGAATAGTATTCTTAGATAAGGGTATTGTATAATTCATATTACCACAAGACTGTGGAGAAAATATATGTAATTGATGACAAAATGCATCAAATCAAATCAAACCCATCAAATTATAATTCAGAATATCTGTTTTTGTCATTAATTCCTTTCTTCTCAAAACAATGTACATTTGTGTTATACCCCATGCTTCATGTGCAACTTCAAAACATATTTTGTCCATATATACGTATATCTACCGTTTTGTTTCATACGCCTAGAGAGATGGATTGTGGATTACCGTGCTGAAACTCGCGAAGCCTTTTCTTTGACCGTGATGAAGATACGGTTTCAACTATGAAGGACCCGATTCTTTGGTGAACACTCTCGACGTTCTCTCGAGGGGAGCTGCTAAGAACTTCCAAAGATTTAAAAGGCGAGGTAGTGCGAGTTTGACCAACTTTGATTGTACCGTAATGTTGCTTGCGTTTTCTTGATATATTCATGCTTGACAAGAATGATCGACCCACCTTCGAGACACTACCATCTGACTTAGACTCTTTGATATTGTCGCTGATGACATCGTACAGAATTACATTTTGTTGGCTGCGGTGACTAGAGACACTTGTTGTGTTGCCACCGCAAGTTGCAGTCCTTTTCTCGCCCTCATATTTTAGAATTGTGTCTTTTAGATTATTCAGCGCATCATCAACTGCTTTGCAGACCGCACGTCACTTTCAATTTCAAGGCTGCTGCCTTTCAGCTTTGTCGACATCGGACGTGCTGGTTCATCAAGCCTTCCCCATGACGCATTGACTATCGGAGCTTTTTGACAATACGGGCAGAACCAATCTCCTTCCGGGACATCAGATACTGCAGGCTGTACACAGGTAAAGTGATAGGCTCGCTCACAGCCATTACAACACAACAGCGTGCCTTCCTTTAAGCAAATTGTACAATATTCAACGTCCTGCTCGGTGCGAGGAAGCCGAGTAAAGCGTGCGCCCGTCCTTTTTCTTCCTTTCTCTCTCTGTCTGTTGTGCCACATTTCATATTCGGGCGTTTTCTTCCATTGGTAAAACTTGCTCACTAACTCCTTAACTGTCACATTTGGAAACCTCCGCTGCTCAAAAAAAACAAAGAAGCATCAGCACCACATTCAGTATATATCAATCTTCCTATTCCCCCACCTTAACAAGATGAAATTTCTTGCCATGCTGGGCCATAACCCTCTCGAATGTATCCTTTTGTATCTGCTTTGCCATTTCATGGCTTGCGATTAATTTTTCGCGGCGGGCACTGTGAACGTTTTCGATAGCTTTAGTCACTTTAAAGTCTGCATCAAACAGTGCTTGTAAAGCCTGTATTGATCAAAAAATTAGTTGCACAATTCAATTCCTTTGTACAGCACATTTCACCATCTCCGTCTCTTTAGGCCATGCGTACGTTCGTACGAAATTCACGACCTCGTCGTTTAAAGGTGTTAAACTCTCGCCGTCGCGCCAACCCCATCGCTGTCGATACTGAGGCTTGTTTTGCTGTCTGATACGCTCCTGCTCTGCTGCAGGGAGAAGAGTTGGAATGATTGCTCGATTATTGCCACCATCTAGCTCCAATGCCATTTTTCTTTCAATGACCCTTCGAGAAAAAAGTTCGTAGCTTTCTGAATCCACCTCAGACCTAAACCTGCTCAAAAACGAGCAAATTGACAGTGCTACCACCAATCAGAATTACAGTGCTATGTCCAGTTTTATTATGTCTGAAACTTAATCATTTTGAGTTTGAAGAGTTCAGCACATTTTAGCTGATTGGCCCATACATGAGAAAGCGCATCTTCTCTATCAATATGATGATGCCATCGAGCTCCCACAATCTACTGTAACACATCAGTCCTCTTCAACGATACTATCGACCTTCTGTGTGGAACGTTCAGCTTGAACTCGTTGTTTAGATGTTATTCAAAACGCAAAAGAACACAGCAAATAGTACTTTACAACATTAAATTTTTCGAGACGCGCAAGATTACACTGGCGTTATTCAAAGCCTTCATCGATCATTATAAATAAAGGCATTGATTTCGCATTTTCAGATTGCTTCTAACAAATCATATGAACGTGAGCACTTTGCCAAGTTAAGCTGCTCCATACAAAACGTCTGTAAGAACTTTTTGTCTCTAAACCTAGCAAAATTGCAAGAATCTTGGTCAAACGGTCGTCTATAACAAGCACTTAAAGCTTTTCGGGGTTTAACCGCTTGAACGCCGCTGTCATACATGCTTTAATTCTTGGATACGAAGCTTGCGTCAATAAAGACATCGTCAATCTTTTTAGAGATTTCAGTGGAGGAGATTCGTAATTTCGGACAATATAATTTGAGTTAAAAATAGAGAAATATGTCTCTGATCAGCATCTGCTCCACATTTACAAATTCACAAACTGCAAGTGCAGCCAAACTATTAAGCAAGTAACGATATCATAGGAAGCAAAAATTAATGGCGTTTTCGTCCTGTGCACCTCGTAATTATTGTGTTACAGAGTATTTGAAAAACCGAGGGGAATCCTAGATGGTGTCATCATGTCAAGTTTTAACATGAAATAATGCTGGTATTGAGGAAAAGCTGGTTCGACAGCTATTGGTGTAACACGCGTTAATTTTCCGAACAGAACACGCGTATCAGATCTCGCCTGTGGAAGACATCCAACTACTGCTAATGATACGGATATCTCGGTCTATATATAAACCCTAAAACCTAAGCCCAAATTATCAAATAGAGGATATGAGCAATGCTTCATAACGACGTACTTGCCGCATGTTTCGGCACCCTTGGTCAGCCTGCCAGCTCCGGCAAAGTGCTGGCTTTTGATTTTCACTTAGCATTTCTGAAGACAATTCTTGAAACAGGATTGCTTGCAATTTGCCGAGTGGAAGCGTTAGACCGAAGAATCCGCATCTAAATGCACAGAAAATGGGTTTTGTCTTCTCCTACCTGCCGTGAGCCTTTAATGTACCCGCCGCTGTAAGTTCTCTTGGCTATTTTAAAAGTACACATTTATAAGTCTAGACCAATACGTTCTACTGTCTCTGACAAAAAAGTTTGTTTTATGACGTAAGGCTTGCAGCTCATATGTGTCTGGGAATCCTCCTTTTCAAATTTCTGATCTCCTTAGATGGTATAGTTTTCAAAGCTGTATTTGATATAGAATCAGATATAAATAACTTTGTAATAACTAATTATTTAGTTTAAATAATAAAAACAAGAATTTTAGAACAAAAATAAGATTAGACTGTAATTTTTTAATACTTTTATAATATTGTGTTTTAGTATTAGATGTTTTACTTTTTATTTTTCAAAGCTTGACAATTTTCATCTGTAAAATTTGTTAAATTTGTATTCAATAATAACAAAGAAATTGATTTTTAATCTGTTTATCTTCATCTAATTGCAACAAAAAACTCTATCTTAATTAGGTTTTACTATTTAAATTGAAAAACCGATAAAGGCGGCTTTGCCCCACATTAAACAAAGAAATATGGTCTGGATTTTGAGCAGAAGAGTAATTTTGCCTTAGGTTAAGGTTGTGGGTACTCTTGGAGGTAGTAGATTGCGATCGCTACACGGGTACTGGCTCTAGTAAGGGACGTAAGGTCGCTGACCTTAGCTTAGCTTCCTCTAAAAAAAGCTACGGTAGCCCCTGTGCAATAGGTAGCACTCGAAGTCGATCAACGCCTGAGTCGTTACGACTGATCCTCTTAGAGAATTAAACAATACTTATTTTTGCCCCAGGGCATGCAGGACGGGCTTATTAAGCTGATGTCCCTGCTTAGCTCTGAGAGCGTGGAACACCTTGTTTCGCAAGGTTCTGAGGCGATAAGCAAACGCATAGAGGCGTATTGAATTATGAAAATGCTCTGCTAGAGTACCTACAGCAGAAGCTGTCGGCGTTGACTGCATTCATGACACCACCGTCGACGATGAAAGATTCTTCCCGAACAACTCCGCTCATGTTTAGCGTTAAGACCTTATATCCTGCTATGGGTAAAAGAGGCTGAGATGGCTATGCCTCAAAACGAGCAACAGCGCGTGGCGCTAGCTATCTCCATGAGCGCGAGGATGCGCTTAACGTGCGGTACTTCGGTTGAAGCTGTGTTCCCCGCCTGGAAGGAGCTAAAGCGTCAGCTTTCGCGAGTTCTCTCGTCGCCTAACCAGACATTTCGCGCGCCGTCGCGTTTTTTTGCCGCCCGACAGAGCAAGAAATAGTTGGTGGGCTTTGTCCAGGAGTTGGGAACTCCCATTGCTCAGAACGCAACCGATCCTCTCTCCGAGGCGGTCGCAGTGACCATCATTATGGGCGGCCCCCGCACTGGTGTGGCCAGAGTGGAAGCCTTCCGTGTTCATCCGTCTTCTCTTGAACAAGCGGTTAATGTGACATTGAACGCCGATTTGAACTTTAAATCGACACGACTTGGTTGGAATGCACACCCTCATAGCTCTTCGAGCAGGCCTAATCCAATGGATATCAGCTATGCGGAGAAAGAGGAGGCAGAGCTTCGAGCTGCCGAGCAGCGTTTGGATACCCGATGGTCAATTGTCTGTGGAGACACCCATCATCTTTGGACTGGTTGCCCCCTGCACAAGTCGTGCGGACTTTATGGTCGTAAAAGCGACTGTGAAGGGCTTTCATAAGCAAAGGAAAATCCTGATCAATTTCGGCGCGTCGTGCAATTATGTTCGACGCTCCACGATCGAAGGAAGTCAGCTGTATACGGAGGCGCTTACAGCGCACTTGGATGACATCGTCACTGTTCGCTTAGCGTCGGGAACTTGCGTCACTGTGCCGAGGGTCCCCGTGGACTTCAGTGACAAGTATCTTGACTTTATAGCCTGAAACGCTGCTTAGTTTAGTCTTGGATGCACGATATGACCTTATTTTTGGTATGGCACGGCTGGAACACCATGAGCCATGGATTGATTGGAGGTCGAAGACCTTGAGAGTTACGCGCACGTCTTCCGGTGGCGCTTTGGTGAGTCATAAAACCACCTCTGCTGAGAAGCAGAAGCGCTATTGGCCGGGCACTGGACCGGGACAGTCAATGTGCTGGATATAGGAATATCCGAATTGTCAACACCGAAGATGTATTGGACAAGATTACCGAGCATCATTCGCAGGCTGAACGTGTCGGATGCTGTTAATAACATCACCGATGCAACAGGAAGTGGGGCTACCAATGGACGACGCTGAGTGCGTGTTCCCACTTGTCTCGATGAGATGTAAAGCCTCTATAGAGAGGAGACGGCGAAGCCGTATCATATCTGCAAGACACATCCTACGATATCGTACAGCTATACACCCTTGTCAACGGTATGACGGGAGAGATAGACGGCGACGTCACCCTCGAGGCTACTTTCGCGATGGATGCTTTTGTTGAGCTAAACGATATGTCCTTCGTCCTCCGAAGCGTTTGGCGATGCCTTGAAGGCAAGCGTTTTAGCCGAGGTGGTCATTATACGACCGATCGAGGAGATAAACTCGTTGTCGCCTCTGGATGAAGCTGCCCGGGGGAACACCAAGAGGGTGCTGAACGCACGAGGTGAATCGTTGATCCTAAAAATCCGTCGGATCCGTACTACCCCTTAGTAAAGGAATTTCAAGACGTCATCCCCAAAGGCCCGCCGTCGCTCCTACCTCCGTGCCAAGGTGTCCGTCATAGGATTGATATGGTTCCGAAGACCAAATACTGCGTAACACGCCAGATGCCTATGCCCAAGATGTAGTGTTACGTTATTGACGCTTTTTTCCCTTCAAAGCATGGTGCAGGAATGGTGCGTGAGAGTAGGTATCCTTATTCGATACCCACGTTTTGAGTCCGAAAGCCGAATTGCAAGCAGAGAATCGTTCACGCTATAATAAGCTAAATTTACGACCATCCCGGCACAAATGCCGATTCCTAGGATGGATGTTCTAGAACCATATGGTTGGCTGTACAAAGTACAGCCCACTCGACTTGGTCGACGATTGTTACTAATTGCTCATGAGAGCGAGTAGTATTCCACTAACAGCGGTGAGTACTCCGAGCGAAATTCACTCGGAGTGGCTGGTGATGCTCCAAGAGCTGTTGAATACACCAGCAACATTTAATCGCCTTGTGATGCAGTAGTTCAGGCCCCACCGGGCGTATACACAAACATGCTCCGATGGCATCTTCGTCCACAGTCGTGTGAGGCAAGGTTGGACAGATGAGGAAAATCACATCGTTTATTTGAGAACGGCGCTCGAATGCATGCGAACGAATAAGCTGAATGGTAACGCAGATAAGTGCAGCGCGAAAAAAGTCCGCGTGTTAGGGTTCTTTGGGAAGCGTGGCCTTCGAGCAATTCCCGCTAAGGTCAAGGCCATTGTGGACTGGTCGGCTCCGAAGAATCAAAAGGACTTGCGCAAGTGGCTTGGCCTCGCTAACAACTTGCACAAATATAGCGCAAATTACGCGGAAATGGCACAGGCATTGTCGAATCACCTTAAAAAGAATACGGAATGGTGTTGACACACCGAGCATCGAAAGGCCTTTGATGGGGCCAAAGACAGCGTCCTTCATGCAACAATACTGGCATTGCCAGCCAATCGTG